AATATCGGGATATTATCGATATCGATAAAAATAATATGGAAACCACGGAAATTGTAAGAAAAACTTGGAAATTTTTATTGAAACTTTGCAGGATGTTTATTTAGTCAATTATCTATTAGTTTATCACAAAAAATTGGAAGGAAATGCATTGCATGATGGATTTAATTGATTTAAGTTGATTATATAGCGAGCTGGCAAACATTGTAAATGTAGAAAATATGTAGTAATTAATGAAAGAAGTTTAAACACACCATAATCATTTATATATAATGAATTAGTACAATATTTTACACTTTATACATTGCATGGTAAGATACATGAGTGACTTAGTACCACATAGAGTTCCTATGAGGTTCAAAATTTTCACTATCTTCGTCATCTCTATGTGTAGAGTAAGTGTATTTTAGCATATTTTCACAAAAACATAAGTGATATGGTGGTCAAGGTGTTGAAGGAGTAAAATGGGAGGGTTCGAATCCTCTTGGTGTTTTTTTAAATATAGAAATTTATCCTAGATAATAAATATTAGCTTGCAAGCCTTGCAGACATATTAACAACCATATAAATATTACAGGCTGAATATGTAATTACAAACACATCTATAGCGAGTTGGATAAGGTCTAGGTGTGTAGTTGACAAAGGGAGGGGTTTGAATCCCCTGGTGTTTTTTTTTCTTTCTTATTTTCTTTTCCTTTTCCTTTTTTTCTTTTCTTTTCTCCTGCTTTTCAACTAAATAATTCATAATTTAAATTTATATAACCTTTATATATATATATATATATATAATATATCTCAAACTTTTAAAATTATAAAACACCCACGTAGTGTGGGTGGATCTCAAACTTGGACAACTTTTTAAAATACAAAGAACCCACTACGTGGGTTTTCATAATTAAAACATGACCACAACTCTTTAAAATACAAAGAACCCATACGTGGGTCTCTCCCCTACCTCGAGACCCCATTTCCTTCTCTCACTCTCTTTTCTGCACTGTCTATCTCTCTCTTCTCTGCACTGTCTTCCTCTCTCGAAAGTTCGAAACCCTCTTACCTCTCTCCTTCTCTTGCCGTGACCACACACACACGCAGCAGCACCATCTGCTCGACTCGAGCAGATCGAGGACACCACCATCATCACACATCATCAGTCTTCTCTCTCCCGCCTCTGCGAGAATGGCGGAGCCCATAACTCTCCGGCGAGTCTTCTTTGATTTTCCGGTTAGGTAAGTCTCGGATCTCTCTCTTCGTGTTAGTGTGATATGCTGCACTGCCCTTCGTTCACCACCGCAGAAAGAACAGATAGGGAGCTTGTACTGATCTAGGGAACTATGGCGAAGGTAGCGCATTCGTCATCGCCGTCGTCGCCATCGCCGTCGGTGGTCATGTCAACTCCCGGTCCCTCACCTTCTTACCTTTTCGATTGATTCATGCATATGAATTGTGGTTGTGTTTTCAATCGCTCTGTAGCTTAGATCTTGATCTTAATCATGTTTTTGCAAGGTTTTTGGGATGAAATCGGCTCGGGAATCGGCACACCCATTTCCGGCGTTCTTCTCCGAGTAGCCCAGTTCCAAAAATATCCCGATAATTTCATAAATATCGCGATATTTTGACGAAAACCCTTTGGATACCTATTAAAATATCGGTCCGGCGAAAAATCGATAATATCGACGATATATCGCCGATATTATCGGCATTTTGTTCCATGGTGGCCTCTCATTGCTCGACCTTGATTGCAAGACAGCATCTGAGTTTAAGATCCTTGACAAACTCCAGCTAATGACTGTTTCACCAAAGAAGGATATCCCACGTGAAAGCCTACCACTTGAAATGGGTGGCTTTTATTTATATCACGAACCTGCCCTTATCTCCTAAAATCATATAATATTTTGCATGCCATCTTTTTTGGCCAAAAAAAATATGATTACACCAAAATTTTCTCTTCCTGACAAATGCCACCGAGTGGACCAAATGCTGATGAAAAGATCCTCAGCCAAGAGATAACAACTGGCCAAGACTCTACCTTAAAAACTTGTGAAATTAATGGGTACCACTTCACCATTGAACCACTTACTGCCAGCTAGAACCACCGTCGGCTATTTAGCTAACCTAAAACACCATCAGCACCGAGATCATGGTGAGGCAGCACCTTTAGACCGCCCTCTCCATCTGGTCGAATAGGATAAAGAAAACGGGATTGAGAAAAACTTGATACTCAGTAGCTCGGTCTACCATTAATTCTCGGCCATCGCTTCAGTGAATACTGCTTTTTGCCTCTTTTTCCCTACTTTTCTGCAGTAGACAGTAAACAAAAAAAGCCACATCGCATGCTGACTTGCAGTACAAATATATGCTGCATATATCTTTCCGTTCGTACCACACGTTGCCCTCTGCGAACATGGTCCTCCTGTTACCCTTGCTCTTGATCTTGTTACATAAGGAACTTCCAACTCTCTCATGTGATTCCATGTGCTATGAAAATTTGATTTTCCTCTTTTTTTTTTTTTTTTTTTTTTTTTAACAAGGCAAAGTAGTTGAAGCGTTGATGACTGGGAAAACAGACAAATCCCACTGATTGCATGTTGAAGTCCAAGGCCATTATGCACACCTCATACATCGTTGTTGATGATTGGGAAGAAAGACAAATCCCACTGATTCCATATGCAAAGTTCCATCAATTCCCCTTAATACTGTCAGCGTCTTTGCCTACCCTGCTGAGCTTCTCAAGCTTAACCAAACCGCCACCAAGTCGGTGCTTACAAATAGCAAGAACATTCACATCTTCCTAAGTTGTCATCGAAAGCAGCTGTCGAGCTCGACAAGTACAAACATAACTCGGCGAAAACAACTCTGCCGAACGAATCCTTCAAGAGGCACCTAAGGTGGCTATTTGTCGTCCTCTCAATAAGTGCACCTATACATAAAGACCTAATAATCATGTTTCCAAACGTGTGGGACTCGACCGAATGTGATTTTGAAGACTAAAGAGAATGACACGATCACTACGACCGAATACCAACCAACAAACCTCACCGCTAAACACAAATATTTATTTGGCGAAAAACATCCTGATATATTTGGTCCCTTTTCTTTTTGGCTTTTGACATGTACTGCCTTCACCGAACTTAAGCCATCTAATCCACATGCTAAGACAACTCGACGAGGTTAAAAACAAATTTTAAACGCCGATTATATCACATGGTCGCCCCTTTATTTTCTTAAGTATCGGCCCATAAAGCCGAATGGTCAAGAAAATAATTTATTCATATATATATATATATATATATATTAGCATATGAAAATAAAAAGCCGAATGGTCAAGAAAATAATTTATTCATATATATATATATTAGCATATGAAAATAAAAGTGACTAAACTTCAACAAGGAGGAGGCCAATGATGCTTTATTCCGAGCTAAGATCTTTTTATATCAAAATTCTCAATTTGATTTCGCTCTAGGCCAAATAAAGAATCATCTCCAAATACTTTTGACTTGGCGAAATATTTTTCATTATCGGCCGCCGAATGTGTTGGACAATTATTAAGCCCCCCAGGCATGCTAATTTCGGCTTTTAACTCGAACAACTTAGCTGAACGAGGTTTCTCCATATCAGCTTTATCGCCAATAATCATGTCGATTGGCGTAGTTTCAGCGTCTAAGACCATGTCACCAATTACTATATCAACTGATGTGGTTTTATGGTCTAGAGCCGTGTATCAGACTTATTCGTAATTGGAACATTCCTCTGACGAATCACTTTCGAAGTCGATTTTTGACTTAGAAACTTGAACCTTTTCTTCTAGGCCCACCACACTTTCAGTCTCGACCAAAAAAACAGGTGGCCTAGGTTTTTCTTCAACCGTCTTGACAATTTTCTTAGGTCGAATTTTGATTGTGGCCGGAGCGAAAAATTGCCCCTCGACCTTCTAATCCAACCATTCCTCAAATAGAATTGATTTGTAGTGGGGAAAATGTTCTCCATCTAGCCAGGCATTAAATCGAGCCCTGTCTTCATTTACCCATTGCTCTTGCAGGTAACATGAGCTTTTATTCTCAACATGTAAGTGGATGACTTTTGCATCTCTCAATGGCCATAAAGAACTTTCTCCACTTCCAAAGATCTTTTACTTTCCTCATTGTGTTTTTCCAATTGCCCTAGGAGCTCGTACAATCGGCTACATGAAGCCGGATAGGAATCTTGATATATCATATGAACTTCGTAGTTTTAGCACTGGGTCCTACTGGGCGTGCCAAAATGTTGACCTTAAAAACAACCAAGCCTACGTGGCGTACAGGCCGAGTAACTAATGAGCTAACTACATCATTTGGTTATGTGCGGGGCGCGCCAACTCGACTGCCGATGAGTAAAATGTGTTGATGTTGAGTTGAGCGCGTTGCTGACTTCTTGATCTTGCGACTGTGACCAAGGAAGGAACACGTCTCGGCTTTCGGGTTCCAGAGCCTGAAGATAAGGCTGCTAGTTTTGCAAAGTTCAATATCAGATTCTGCTTTCAATGTGCCGAATGTAATAACCTGGTAACATCTCACTTCACTGAGAAGGCTGATAAGATGACCTCTACCAACAAGGACTCGAAAATCCTTGTCGACCAAGACTTGGATAGGTAATCAGTCGACTTCGAAGCAGTGCTGTTTATCCAAACTGAAGATGCTCCGCGATCGGCTGACTCTACAGCAACAATGTTGTTTATCTAAATTGAAGATGTCACCGGTTGCCTTTACATTGTTGTGGAGTAGAGATGGAAGCTTTAGAGAACACGTGTCTTGAACTGAATAGAAGGGCCTGCGCTTACCACTAAAACACATATCAATCTTGTATTCTGTCATTCTACCAAAATTTTCCAGTAAAGTTGGTAAACAAAAGTTCTAGTTTTTTATGAAGGTTTGAACATTAATTTGCAGAAGAAACAGAAAAGCAGATGAACAACCGAAGAAAAGAAATGCAGGATTGTAGAGGAGAAAGAGTTGTTTATCATCCACGTTAAGCTCAACTGAATGAGCATTACAAACTTTTGTCCAAGAGTTGCTACAGAAGCTCTCTTAATAGAAAACTAACAACCTCTCTTAATGGAAATCCAACTAACATAATCACTCTTAACAAAAAACTAATTGATTTCATCACAAGTACTATCACTGCTCACTGGCAATGTTGCTACATCAATAGAATGGGACTCTTCAAGTAGTGATGGTGGCTGTTCTATCATCGTCTTCAGTTCCTCTCTTTGACTCCACAAAACCATATATAACCCACAGATGATTAAAACCCCTCCTAATATGCTGCAGGGCATAAAAAAAATATAGAGATATTAGAAATATTTCTCATGCAGTTTTCTGTTTTTTTTTCTCCCTTATAATTTAACCAGAAAATAGAACAAAGTAAAATACCTTCCTAAGTGTAACTTCTCATCTAACAACAAAGTCGCAGCTAAGGCCACCAGCAGAAGGCCAAGAGGGTTGAAAATAGCCACAAACAAAGGCCCTCGCATGAGCACACACCATGCGGTCAGAGTAAGAACCAATCCCGAAGTAATGACTCCCTACATCATATAAAACACAGGTGTGGAACAGCTTAACCTATAGTCTTGACAAACTGAGGATGCTAAGCTAAATACAGAGATAAGGCAGGATATGGAGAAACTGTAGCTCACAAGGATTCGCAGCAGAAAATTGCTTATGGCTAAATACAGATAAGGCAGGGCATGCTAAGCTAAATACAGATGGTGCAAAGAATAATTGCTTAGTCAGTCATATTACCGAATACACTGCCGTGAAAAGTTTGATGCCCCAGCCCAACTTCCACTGACTCCAGTCCCTCTCCTTGCAGAGGGCAAAAGCAGTAGACTGGATTGATGCCATGATAGACATCAGGGCCGTACTTGAGTACTGGCAAGGGTAATCCCTAGTCATTTTTTTCTGTATTGTATATATACCAAGTTAATATTACAACACAAGTTAAACAAATCATACGGATTAATTTATGAATCCATGGCTGGTTACTATTATACATATTAATATATTAATAACCTGAAATATCAGCCACAGTGCAAAAGAGATGCTACTGCAGAGTGCTAAGACGGAGCCCAGCAACTGAGTGCGAGTGTTTCTGTGCAAGACCTGGCTGCTTTGGTGGGAATATTTACGTAAAAGGTTTACGTCCGTCGACCAAATGACAATCTCGTGGCCTTTGTAGAAAGTGAAGATCATTGTCCCTCCTACACAAACCAATGTACCCACAACTTTTGCCCTACCCGCGTGTGTCCCAAGGGCTAACTTCTCCATTCTGAGATTTAATTTTAACCCGAATTTTCATATTAGTCTAAATCTACATATTTGAATATGAAACTGCTGTTTAATTAATTAAGTAATTACTTATGTACAAGTATGTTTAATTAATTAAGTAATTACTTCTGTACAAGTACGTACCTAAAACATAATGCTATGAGGAACGTGATGACTGGAATAAGGTTATTGAAGGCTACGGCATATGTTGCCGATGTTAAGCCTAAGCTCTCTATGTAAAAGTTTTGTGCCATGGTTGCCCTGCAATAATTCAACGTATATAGAAGTACAAAAATAAAAATAAAAATAAAAACTGAAATACACTAATTATGACTAAAACACATCAAACTAAACTTTAATGTTAGAAATTCTTGTTTATCTCCAAGGTATATTATAAAAGAGCAAAACAAAAAAAACAAAAAAAAATCATGCTCGGAAATACAAAATAACCTAAATAGAGTAAGATATGTGATTAATAAAGAAACACAAAAGGGAAATTTAACTTTTGAATATGTTTTAGCATTCTTACCCCAATAATCCGGAGATAAAACCTTGAAACAGGATACCTAAGGTAAGTTTGGGCCTCTTCCTGTTATTTTATAAGTTAAATAACAACAATTAGCTAAATGAAATGAGGAGAGAAAGAGAGAGACAGAGATAGAGAGCATATTATCATATATTAATTTCGAAGAGATCATGATCATTGATGAACCTTTCAAATATAAGGGCAAGAGGAAGCATAAGGGCTGCAGAAAACATGTTACGGTAGGCAACAAGGATGGTGAAATTCATTCCAACCTCTGCTACCAGTTTGTAAGATATATTCATCCCTACATATGACGCCTGAACCACCAGCATCATCATCACTGGCTTCAACCCTTGCACTACACTAGTACTACAACACATCAGTTTCTGCCCCATCCTATCTCTCTCTCTCTTTCTCTCTCTCTCTCTCTCTCTCTTCTCTCTCTCTCTCTCTCTCTCTCTCTCTCTCTCTCTCTCTCTCTCTCTCTCTCTCGCCGTCCCTCTATCTATCTAAGATATCCTGCTAACCCAGCCAAGTTTCAAATCCTTTCTACATTTCCGAAATGAGAGTATTGGAGTCGTGAGAACTAGCTAGCTAGCGCTGTGTTATAAGGGTGAATTATCTGACAGATGCCAGTGTTGGACCCACTTGTATTGCTGAAAGAACCATGCAAAGTGAATTCCTTCTCAAAGATTGCGCGTGTATTATACTGATGGTCACAGTTATTTTTACGTCGTGTAACAACTCTCTACTTTTTCGTAGTATCGTATTAAAGCTTTTTTTATAAGAGAAAATTTTCAGTGTGTTCGAAATACGGGGTTCCATAAATTTTTATGATGGATGAATTTTCAACTCGTCCATTTTCCAATCTTAATAATTGAAAAGGTTTCTTAACTTGTGTTCATTTAATTTGGAAAAACCTTTCCAGAGACAAATAATAATTTGAATACCCTTCTGTCAAATTTGGAAGGTCTCAAGGTTCCATTCTATAAGATTCAATTTAAACTAGTGAACGATAATAATTCAGATATATATATCCTCCTCAATGGTTGCCTTAATCTTCTTATCTAATGTGTTATGATAGTAATTCAGATAAATGTATACTGTGACCACTGCCGAAGAGAGAGATAAGTGGCCATTACAACTAGGTGGAAAGCTCGTATTTATAGTTTGAGGGCATGTTTACCCAATTACTTGGTAAAAGATGAGAAAGAATGACGATGAGATAAACAATTTTTTAGTGGGATTTACGCACTTTGCCTATTCTCTTACCAATTACTTGAGTTTTAGGTTGTTACTAATTTGGTCGTCGGAGAGCATTTGGTTGTACCTCTATAGTGTTAATTGGGTTGTTTACTATTTTACAAGTAGTCGAGTTTGCACACCTCCACTAAACACGGTGATGTACGAATTTGGTTCCAACAAAACCCGATGTTAAAGTTTACAAGATAAATATATATAGATATATATATATATATATATATATATATATATATATGTTTGTACCATACTTGACCAATCCCGAAACTACTGAGCACCGGTCAACGTTATACCGTCAAGGACCCAGAAGAGCTTCCCTTCAACCAGGAGGCCAATCACAATGCGACACGTGTCGACATCAGAAGCCAATCACAGCGCGACACGTGTTAACATCAGAAGCCAATCACAACACGACACGTGTCAATGTTAGAACAAAACTAGAAACTCTCATTCTATAAATAGGGATCATTCTCCCACAATAATCTCTAATGTCATTTTGTACTAAACTATTCACTAGAACTCACAAAATGAGAGCTTGAACCTATGTATTTGTGTAAACCCTTCACAATTAATGAGAACTCCTCTACTCCGTGGACGTAGCCGATCTGGGTGAACCATGTACATCTTGTGTTTGCTTCCCTGTCCCTATTCATTTACGTACTTATCTTCACTAGTGATCGAAGCAACCAAGCGAAGGTCGCAAACCTGACACTTTCTGTTGTACCAAAGTTCTCGCTGATTTTGTGCATCAACAATATATATATATCTATATATATATATATATGAACCACCATTCCCTCATCCACATCTAAGTTAAAGTAATTCTTTCTGCTTTTAAAAGAGAAAAAACCAAAGTAAAATTGTTAAATGCATGAGCAACAGTTTTGAAGCCTAGGTATATGGAAGCCAGAATATTATTACTTGGTATAAAACCAACGAAAAAAACAAAGCTGAGCTAAATCAATCAATCGAACAAAATGTTATTTCTTTGACCGTCTTTAAGCTGTGACAAAGCTACTACATATCAAGATCCTAGTTCTTGCTAATACAGTACTACTTTGAGGGAAAAACTTTTGATAGCTAGGCGACTCTTGCCCCTTGTCCCCTTGAAAGTTTAAATAAGAAAATTCCTACAAAACAGATTTGAATCAAACTGTTTAGTGTAGACCAATGTTTTACACCAGCAATAATATTCCATTAGTCACTAAAAAGTCAGAACATATTACGTTACCCATGAAATATAATTAATAATTAACCATCATAAATTATTGCTACTTGGTCTGAAAAGATTTTCTCAATTTCCAAACAATGTTCAATAAACGATACAACAAAAACAGTTAGTTATTACATCTATAAACAAAATGGGCTTCTACTTGAGAATTCCCAAATCAAAATCCTAATTAAAACCCCAATTTTAAAAACCCTAATTTGAAACCTAATCTCTATTCAGAATCCCAAACCCTAATTAAATTTGGCGAATTAAAGGGGAAATTTTCCACCCCTACTTGGCATGATCATCTTAAGCCGGCTAGTCATTTTTTTAAAGAAATGCTAAGGATACTCTCTTATTTTTTATATCACCTTATAGATTACATTGCACAATGAAATAGGACGAAACTACATCATTTTAATTAACCGGTCTAGCTACCTTTGAGATAAGAACCACGTGGTTGTGATTAATTCTTTTTAAAACCTTCCGATGTTGGCTCTTTTTTAGTGCAGAGAGACATAATTAATCTTTAAATGTGTATTCATAACAATTTGGCAGGATTCTCACCTATGGCATATTAAAGCCTTCCTTAGACTAAACCTAAAGGTGTGATTAAATGTAAGGACCCAATTGCACAAAACATTACAGGAAAATGATCTCATAAAGTTCACATTGTACACTGGCTTTGCAACAGGTAAGTTTTCTAAAAGGAGTTTCTCCTTTAACCCAGAGGCAGGCTTCATTATTGATTTATTTTTTGGAAAAAAATATTAATCTTTTCTTAATTTGTGTATCCATAGCAGCAAGTGAGATTGAAAGCTCACTAGGACCAGCATCTCTATTGACAGTCACATTGGCGGATTGGATGGAACAGGTCGGATCTTGGGACCCTCTTGGTGGTGATTGTGGAAATTGAATCATCATCATCATATAACCCCAGTACGTAAGCAAACACATAAATAAGTTAAATAGAACCTTTCATTATAGCTCATGCAAATTTTGAATTCCTTCATTTATTTTGTTATAAGAGAACAATAAAATACATGCAAATCACAATTCTAGAAAATATAATTATACATGTAAGTGAACTCAATGTTGAGTTACTAGATATAGTTAGTTGGCGACGTAAAGATTCTATATTACCATGCAATATGGACCAATGATAAAATTGATTCTTAGCTTGTTTTGTTGTGGATATTGGAAGTTAATTAATGTAAGTATCTTAGCTTGTTTTATTGTGAATATTGGAAGTTAATTAATATAAGTATCTTATTTTGTCAAATTATCTGGCATAAAATACGGACACAGAAACAACCCCGTCCTTAACAAAAACCTTTGTCATAAGAACCAAAAATAGAGGTGGCATGCATAAAGCCACTGAATTTCGCCTACTAATAAGGATGGATAGGACAAGAGAGATATAATCAAGATAAGCGTTCCAAGCCAACAAGACTTTCCACTTTAAAAAGGGGTGGGGGAAGGAGGAAAACGTCTATCGTACACACTTTATCCCTTCTTTGCAAAGATACCATTTTCACAACTTAAACCCGTGACCTTTCAGTCACAATGGAGCAACCTTTCTGTTGCTCCAAGGCTCGCCATCAACTAATTAATTACTTATTCTACCTATAAATCATCCAATTATAACCCTATAGTTTTACATGGTATTAGTTTTCTAAACCCTTTCATAAGTTGTTTTTTATCGTGCCACAAGCAGATGGTATTATTTAGCATTTACAAAAAAAAAAAAATCTACTCTTCATCATTCAATTTTTACTCTTAGAGCATTTCACCGCCTGAACTTTTGTCCAATTTGTCAACCAACTTGATCCATCCATATTCGTGCTCATATTCTCATTTTAAAAACCAAAATTAGAGAAAGATATTTGTCCTCATTTGAGGGATTGAACCAACAGAGCTAATGGAATGAAACTACAAGGATTGAAATGTAACAAAAGAACTACACGGACGGAAATGTGACTGGAAAAAATAAAGAAAAGAGATTACAGAACAAAACAAAAAATTTAAGGAATTGTTATTAACACTCTAAAAATTTCATTTTACACTTCTCACAAGTATATTTTTCTTTCTAATTATAGAAAATTTAAAGTGCAAAATGAGATTTTTGAAGTGCCAATGACAATTCCCAACATTTAATAAAAAAAACCATATATACCTTCCCACATATAATTTCTCATCTTGCAACAAAGACACAACAAGTACAACCAGCAAAAGTGACGATAGGTTAAAAGTTGATACGAACGATGACCCACATAAATGTACAAACCATGTCATCAGAGTCACTACGAGTCTAGTTTCCACAACTTCCTGCATCGCATGACACAAAAACATGGACAATACTCTACTTTAATACTGGATAAAATGTATTTCACTTTCAATTTTCTCTCTTAATGCTGCTTTGGAACATTTGTAAAATACTAAAATTAGCTAATAATTTCCTTCTACTAGTTGATTTTCACAAACTTGGGAGAATAAAATGTAAGTGACCTACTTCATGCAATCTGCGTTTTTGGAGAGAGAGAGAGAGAGAGAGAGAATTTGTGGATTTGGTTTGATTATTTTTCAGTTGTTGTGAGAGCTCCTTTTAGGATGTGAAACTGGAATGTAGCGCTCCCCCAACACCTGATGGTGTTGTTTTGTCGACTGTCGGCCCATTAGTACGCTTGGGACCGAAGCCATGCACGTAATCTTCTTCTCTTAAATTACACATAGGGGTTGGTTCTGTTTAGTTTTTAACCGAAACTGAAAACCGAACCAAATTTACTATTCGACTTGGTTTTTTTTTTTTTTCCTTCTTTTCGGCTCAATTTTATCAGACTATACATAGAGAGAGAGAGAGAGAGAGAGATACAAACTGAGTAATCAGTATATACATTGTTTTGCAAACATAAGCTTTATTTCTATAGGAGTGGAAAGATGTCCACTTCATTAATTCATAAATGAAAA